GTTATATAGTTACTGTGAGGTCTTTTACTCTTTTACCGTGTTTTGTTTTTATTGTTTACTTATAGAATTAGGATCTATGGGAAAGAGATCTTTTTATATATATATGTAATTTAAGTTATACTAGATAAAATATAAATTATTTAATTAAATACTTTAAAACAATAATAGACTTGTAAATACTATCATTATTTTAGAGTATATATTTAATTAAATAATTTATATTTTATATAGTATAATTCAAATTATATTAAATTATATCAAATTTTAAATCAAATATTTAAAAAACTCTAAAAAATATATTTATATAAATATGCTTATTTTGGAATAAATAATATACTTAATTTTTTACTTCTTAAAAATTATAATAAAAATTTTAATGGGTGTAGTAACTTAGTGAAAAAGTAAAGTTGTCGCACTCCCAAGCAGTTAAGTATAAGTTTAATTCCTACTGGAGACAAAAATTGAATTAAGAAAAACAGATTCGACAACTATCATCGTGGCTGGGAAAACTCAAGACTCTGTAATTGTGGTCATACCAATTAATAGTTTACTAGCAGCTAGAAGATCCAAGAATACTTGTATAACAAAAAAGTTACATAAGAGATCACAGAAAACTACAGGGTCAATATAGCAATGGTGCACTCGCTTGGGAAATCCTGAATAAAAAAGTAGTACAGATCTTTGATGGTACTACTGGAATAGAATACACTTAAGGTTAATACAACTAAATGAAGACCAGGTATTAGGCAAGGGTACTTTACTAACTAGGCTGCTAGAGTATCGACCAGAGGAAAAGGATCTATATACAGATACCAAGGGACTAGTATCTCTTCTAGGCTATCTGGATTAGTAGTTTGAAGAAATTAACTAGATAGTACTAAAAAAGAAAAGTACCAGGTAAACTTGAAGGGAAGTACCAGAGTTTGAGTGAACTCTATAAGGGCAGAAGAAGGTTGTGTAGCAGTGATCAGGCTATAGTATAGTTAAAACAGTACTAAAAAACTAATAAAACAACATAGCTAGAAAATACTTCTACTATAGAAACTGGCTGCAAGTGGTGGGCTTTGGTTTGTGCATATCAACTAAAGACTAGATTAGCCAAATTGTGAGTACGGAAGACTCTAGCAGGTTTGTTTCAAGAATAAAAAGCTCTTTTTAAGATTAGAGCCTACTTTAAAATCCCAAATCAATATCTAAAAATAAGAGGGTATAAAGTATTCTTGCTTGGTTAATAGAATAATCATATAGGTATAGAGGGTTTAAATAGATAACCCCTAGTTGGGTTATAGATATGACATCTAGTATAGAACTTAATAATAAGTAGACTACTTAAATAGGTAACCAAAAGTTATATGTATGGCTAATTGTACTCTCCAAATATGTATATGATATGATGATAATCATACAGTAAAATTATAACTATAATCGAATAAAAAAAACACGACCAAGAGGTCACTTTAATATCAAAAAAAAAAATTTTTTTAACTTAGTTATTATATAGATCTTGAATAAGAAGAACTATATTTAATTTATATTGTAGAAGTTTTAATAAGAATACAATTAGAAATTTCAAACTTAGATTTCTATTCAAAAATAGATGATTTTGATTATGTTTTTATATTCTGAATATAAACATAAATAGCTAATATAAGACTTTAATTAGCTCATTTAGTAGTACTATAGAATTTTTTATAATCTTATGCAGGTTTAATAGTATTATTATTATTTTCTTTTGTTTTTATTTTTTATTTTGTTTTATTTGGTTTTTTTGTTTAGATGAATTGAATTTAAACATCAAATATCTTCCCTCTTTTTTTTTGTTTTGCTTTTTGAATTTGTGTCTATACTTCATTACTATAAAAAAAAAAGTTAATACTAATATAGCATGTAGCACCGGCCAATAACCAAAAAATCCAAGTCTCTAGTAAATTAGAAACCCGGAAGAAGACAAAAAACCACTAGATAGTATCACACCTGATCAAGTGAATCACTTGTAGTTGGATAAGTAATAGCTATAAATAAAAATTGTAATTTTTAACATAGTTTATATCTCAATAAAACAGTAACAGGACATGCTAAATATAAAAAAAAAAAAAAAATTAAAAATCCAAATTCAAAATTTTTATTGCACTTCTAGCAAAATTTTTGCAATATAAATCGAGTATAATTTTTACTGTTGCAAAAAAAAATCTATTTTTCGAATTTTCACTATTTGTTAAATGTTTTGTCTTGCTAAATTTTATAATATCGTAAATTCTCAAAATAGCATGGGCGTTTTGGCCCGAATTAAGTTTAATTTAGGTCAAATTTCGTAATTTCACTCATGGCGTTATTTCGAGAATTTACGGTAGAAAGAAATGATTAGTCCATTAGCTTTTACAAGTTGAAAACGAATATATAAATTTACAAGGCATCAATATAAAATATCAGAACTGTTTATACATAAAGTTTTGTCAAAATCTCAAACATTAAAATAAATGGAATACATTGTTCAAAAATAAAAATAAAAATATCAAATAATATATTATCAGAACTTTACATTGGCCTTAACGAAATTCTCTATCAAAACCTGACGATCTGCCATAATAATTTGTATGATTCCTATGGGTGTAAGATTGAGATCCTAATGGGCGCTATTAATTGGTTCATAGATTCACATTTTAGCAAATATATATAATCATCAAGACAAATAAATATAGGACAATATTCTTACCTGCCAGGCATCAGATGGTCGCTAAAATTTCAGAAAAGTATATATCTTTATCTATGTAATACTTATAATCGAATTACCAATAATATAAACTCTATACTTACATAGAAGGGCGGAACAGGTTCGTATGGTGAATCAAAATGTCCCGAGTGAGACATAAAACGATCGTGCTCTCCAAGTTGCATGTTTCGGTTCTAATGCAAGAAAAATATATTAGTAATTAAATATGATAAACGATTTTAAAAGTGTGTTGTGAAAAAGCAATTTACCAGTCGCATTCTGTTAAATTCTAATGAATCAAGTTGACTACGCTCACGTAGTCTATTTAAAAAAGAAAATAAAAGGGAAGGCGGTTAGCATAATACATTATATTTAATAATTCCTGTCATTATGGAAATTAATATTAACCTATCTGTACGTGACGTACTAGGGGTACTATATGGTCTATACCTATCTATGCCGCCTAATAAATGTATGTCAATAAAATGAATCAATACAATACTAACAAATTTTATTAACGTCAAAGGGATAATTACCACTTCCGGATTCCAAACGTCTTGAAGACTCCTTATATGACTTATTTTTGTCAATATTTACATCCGAGACGGAATCTACTTTGGCTGAAGTATAATCAAAAAGGCTACATAATTCATCGCCAATACTTTCGGGAAGCTCCTATAAATTAATTATATGCACATCGATAATCAGATAATAATTTTTAAAATGTCATTATATCGAGATTAATAATGGCCTAAAGTGTTTAAACTTTAAGCCAGATATTAGTGACTCTACCTGTCCATCTCGACTAATTTTTACAGGTTTATTATCATTCCAGGGATTGCGAATATTGTGGGTTCGTTCGAATGACAAATTACCGCTATCGACACAATAGATTCTAATAAATAACATTCTATATTGTATTCTTAGACAAAAATAATTATATTAAATAATAAATACATTTTTAGCCATCTGACACTAAAGTTTCCGCCAAGAGAAGCTCCGCTAATATCTGTCCATGATGCATGTTTTATAGTACCTACATCAGACTCCATTAAGCAGAATCCTAAAATTGTTATTGAAACGTTACAATAAATCTAAAATTTTAATAAAAAACAAATCAAACAAGTTTTTCTCATGTTACCTTGAAAATGTCGGCTATTATTCACAGAAAAAATCAAAATAACTCTTTTAGAGTTCTAAACAGAAAGATAATTATATTATTTATTTAAAAAGACGATTAAAAAACAGTAAAGTTGACAGAACTAATAAAATTGATAAAATACTCTAAAGGCATCACTTAATACACTAGCGTTAATAGGCTGTGTGGCCCAGACACCCTAAAAGTCAAATAAATTTTAGAAGTATGCATATAATCTTCAAGAGAAAGAATAGAGACATACGTCTATTTGTGATTTCTGGACGTTTTCGTGGTTGTGACTCTTCATAATAAAATAGCGAGTTATGTCTGAAGAGTTTTTCACCGTTTCTAATCGCGCATATGAATCAATAGTAATTAGAGAAGATTAACTTTATCTTATATTGGACTAATCCTTACATACCATTTCGTGATTCACCTGTACAATACGAAATATCACTCTGACGTTTTGAACGAGGTTCTAAAAGATGAATATGTACTCGTTAGTCATCACATAACTATAAATGTATGAAATTATTTTATCTATAATCACCTTTATCGTAATTATCGGTTATTGGTTTTGGAGTGTGATGATAATCAGAAGTATGGGTAGAAGTGTCAAAATTTCGTTCGCGTGGCGTGTCATCCCGATGCGAATGTCCTTTGATTTTTTTGTCACCCTTACTACCCACAGTTTCCATACGACGACTGTGGCTAATGTAATATCGACTTATGCTCGAGTCCCTTTCGTTCAATTTACCAGAGCGTGATTTTTGTATTTTATAATGATGGTTAACGGCATACCCGTTGGAAGAGGTAGACGTCAACCTTCTATGGTGAAATTCACGATTACTCCAATCAATTTTCTTTGGTCTGCCATTGGATGCTGAAGGTCTCATCATAGTATAGGCGGATGATTTGATGCTTAATTTCCGTGTATCCTTTGGTTGTGAAAAAAGTCAGGAATTTTTGGGAACAATATTGCGTGGAAATAAAAGCTGATATTATGTGACATATCTCCATTGCTGATTATTTTCTTCATATACCCTTAATGTTTTTTTCATATACCCATTGATGTTTTTTAATATACCCATTAATGTTTTTTCATCTGAACACATTTATCAACTGAATAATGATTATTAATAATGACTCATCCAATCAATTGTTCACATTGCTCGCTCAAATGTTCATTAATGTCCTCGATCCGGCATCCAATAGCCAAAATGTCCAAATAGACAAAATCGAAAACAAAAGCAAATTCCATAAAACAATGAATGTCCATGTTCAATTTGCGAATTTAAAAAAAAAAAACTCCAGCAAAGCCGCAAATCAAAAGTGCCATTCGACAACATGGTGGTGAAGATAGGGAAAAGTGGCCCTATGCCTACCTGGTGGGTTACGCCACTATATTTGACATCTTTAATAGAGTCATTATCATTAATGTCAGATTTTTCGTCTTTACCAATTGATTTACCATTTGATGTACATTGAGTGTCCGAATAATTGCCTTCAG